TTACACTATAGCAGTTTTCTTGTTCTTATTATGAATATAATGAATCTAGATCTTTTTAAATTTTATTTTCTTTAAAATAAAAACTAAAAAAAATTATCTCCAAATGTGAGCTCATTTTATGTTAATACATAACTTTTTAGGAAAGTAAGCATGCCTGTATTTAAAAAAAAAAAAAAAGTGAAGAAGGCTATACAGTTTTACCTTTTGCAACAGTCTGTTCAGACAACTGCTTTTTCTTTAATCAAAATGCAAATCTGAAACCTCATCAATGAACTTTTTGTATTTAAATTCTACTGGCTGCTGCCATAATACCAAACCAGGGTTTTTAACTGCTACTGTGTATCTCATTAGAAAAGTCTTTTATTGAGAAACTGTCAAGTTCACTGAGATGGAATTTCCCCAAATTCTAATTTTTCTTTATGAGCTCAAATTTTATCTTCGGCAGCAAATACTGTCGGTTGTTCCCCATGACATGTCCAGCCTACTGAGTTTATATGTAGAACCTCTGTTGAAATGGGTTTAAGATGTCACAAAATCCACAACGTGTGTGCCTTGAGGGGGTGGAGCCACTGCGCCGATTCTGACTGAGGCCTCAGCGGCTGTGCTCCCTGCTTTTGACCATCAGCGTGGACACCAGCAGAATAAACTGCGCTGCAGCACTATAACAGAACAGGTTCAAGCCCGGTGATCCTGCAGGAGCACACGGGCCACGTTTAAGCTGCCGCACTGACATGTAACAACTGATCCCCCATCACCAGCAGGCAGCCATCTATCTAGGGAAAAAGTGATTACTGCTTTTTCAGGTTTTCCTTGTGTTACCAAGTCCAAAAAACATTATTATAAAGAAAAGGCTAACTCCACCCAACTGTCAACGTGGACCCATAAAATGAAATCTAGTTACCATGGAAGGTCAAACTAAACAAACTTTATATGCAAATTTCCCCCTATGGAATTTATCAAATGAACTTCGTAATGCTAATTCCCCCATAATCTTGTACTTTCTGGGCTCTTAAGGAAGAGCCTTTGCTTAATGTCAGAGATACAGAGAGTCTAAAGTTGACAAGGCCGGGCTGGGGCCAGAGTGTGCAGGGTGCTAAGCAGCCAGGACACAGCGGAGGCATTAAAGCCAGAGAGGGCTGACTGCAAGTCGCAGGTCCGCGACCTACCAGCAGACTGCTTCTTGTCATCTCCTGTCCCTTGTCAACTCCGAACCTGTCTTCTTACTTGGATATGCAGCAACTTCCCCACTTGCAGGGAGGACTAGATGAAACGCAGGTGAAGTGCACTGCTCCTAGCACACAGCAGGCGTTCAGTCCCCAGTGAGTAAGGCCCCTGTGGGCAGTCGGAGTCCAGCCAGGGGTGCAATGCACACCCAAATAATTACGACCCAGCTGGGGACTGATTAACTACGCACTACAATGGGACTAAAAGAAAAATCAATGGTCTGCTTAACTGAGGGTGGCAAGAGGAAAAGGAAAGAGACAAGTGTGTAGTAACACGTGCAGGGTGGGGCACAGGACGGACAGGTGGGGCAAAAGGGCCGGACAATGTCTGCAACTGGGTCGTTTAGCCCTTTTCATGCCATGCTAAGGGGCACAAACATGTAAAGCTTATATCTGTGGAAAGACTGAGAAACTACAAGCTCTCAGTGCTAGAAGGCTATCGGATCTCCCCGCCTCCCCTCTAAACCCCACAGCTAGGCCTTCTCAGACTCTCACCCCTGGTGCAAACCTGACTAGTCGAGGAGGGACAGCAAGGCTTTCCTTTGAGGCCTCAGTGTGCCAGCAAAGTCCTAAAGCAAGGGAACTCTACCTAGGTTCTCCTCAAGCATGAAGGAAGTCTTTACTGGGCAAAGGCGTTCTGGGCAAAGGTTCTAGAGAGAACCAGAACCCCTGGGATGACTCTCTCTGATACTCAGAAAATCTTGAGGCACAAAATGAACTTGCTCTTCACACTGACTTTAGGTCTTCCACTTCAGCAACATTTAGAGACTGTTTTGCTTCATGGGAGTGAGAAGAACAAAAAAGGTCACAGTGGCCCATGTTTTCCACAGTAACTGCAGCCACCAGAGCCCTGACCAGGCTGCCGGGCACTCTTGCCCTCAGCGAGGCAGAAACTGCAAGTGCCACAGGACGTGGCCTGCAGATGCACAGGGTCAGGATGTGGACAGCCCCCGGCAAGTGCACACGGGAACGCCAGACGCTGCCTGGTGAGTGGACCCACCGTGGCCGCTGCCAACGTGAGCGGCACGCACACACAGGATGTGCGCTTTAGGCACAAACCCCAGGAATCATGGCAGTGTTGTACTCACCCAGAATTTTACGAGGAAGAAGGCATTTTGAGGGCCCTTTCCAAACAGTTCCTTTAAGCCACCTTTCTTTTCGGGAAATTTGTCATAAATCTGACGTATGTCCACTGATTCGAGCAACGGGTCACTGTAAGAATGGTTGGCATGCCCAATGTGCACGAAGAGGTGTTTGTTGTACTGTAAGAAACCAGCAGAAACATTCCCATTACAAACCCTGCGAGCAACCTGGGTGCATCGTCTTGAACTGGGTAAGGGCGGCAGTGTTCAAATTCTGGAATTAGGCCTCCGGCGCCTAGTGCTTGCACCTTCAGCAAGATGAATATGTTAAGCAAAGCCATTAGAGCTTAGGGTTAAAACAAACATTGGATTTTACTGGCAAGGTCATGTATTTCTCCCACAAGCCCTCAAAGGCTTTCTTTGAAGACACAGCAATACACAATTACATAAATGCAAGAAACAATTTTATGACCCAGTTTCACCTAACTGAAAATGACAGTGACATTCTTTCATGGCCATCATCTGCAGCTAACCCAATGTGCAGTTAGTTTCTGTCATCACCCAGAGTGCCTGTCACACCCTACTTCCCCAAGCAGCGATGCGGACGTGATCGTGAGCAATGGCACCCCCGCTTCTCCTAGCCAGAGTAAGCACTCGGCCTGTGCGTCACCAGTTCCCTTAGGAGCCCATCTAAGACTTCTGCCTAAGAGCTATTCAGCATGTGATTGTCGACAAGCACAGTCAATCCACAGGTCTACACATGCCAGCATAAAAGGACACAAGTCATTCATTAATAAAAATACAGGGAACAGAAAAAAATAATATAAAAATAAAAATACAAAAGCAAAAAATATCCTTGAAACTCTGGTATCGTTTAATGACACTTTCATCCGTTGCTTTGGCGTATGATAACTGGACCACCAAGGAACATTTCCAGGCCCCAGTTCTCAACCCAGGGTCCTTCCCAACCCCCAAGCACTTACGTCACCAAGGCCTGGATCCCGTCCAGACAGAACCAGAAGCCCTGGGATGGGGGAGGCCTAAATAACCTTTCAAGCTCCCTGGGAGAATGCCAGCATGCAGCTGTCCACTGTGACGCCACTGCTCCAGCCCCTCCAGGCCCACAGCAACAGCAGCCAGCAGGATCCAGTGGAGCCAGGGCGCAGGGCTCCGAGGCCCTGCAGGACTGAGAGCTGCCCTCTCTCCCTTCTCCAGCCAGCAGTGCCCACACCCATTCCAAGTCATACTGGCAGCTCACCGATGGCTGCTCTTCAGAGTACCAATGCGAAAGAAGCCTCAAATACTGGCTTCGTCCGTGAGAAGCACTGACACTGGCCAGGAAGGCTGTGGGGTAAGGACTCAGCCCCTGCCCTGGGCAGCACAGGATTTTGTGCCCACTGCCAACAGCAATGTCAGTGGGTAAGTGCCCCCTAGAGTCTCAAAGTGGAGATGACATCTATCTCGGGGTTGTGAGGGGTTTAAATGAGACACTGCATATAAGGGTAACACCAAGGCTCCCAGATCTAATAAAGAGGTGAGCATGCAGTAAATGCTAGCTGTTTTATAACCGCCTCCCCAATCTCTGAGGTTCACAGTGAATATCAGCATATTAAGAGCACTGACCAGGGCAGGGAGTACAGCCTTCTGGTACAGCACATGTGTCATACAAATAATGGTCTGAAGCTCAATCCCCAGCACTTTAAAAAGAGAAAGGAAAATAAATAATAAATAAACAAGCCCCAAAAGTCCACTGATATAAAGAAGCCTTTTCAGCTTTGTATAACCCACAGTTTACCAAACTCAACTGATCACAAAACCCTGTAAGTACATTCTGAAAAGGCCTAGATTAAATGTAGGCCACGCACAGTAAAGCAGGAGACTGGGCATCACACTGGAGGCCAGTGTCCCACATATGGCAGTGTCACCTGGCTGGCACCTCTGGGGAAGGCCAGGTCCTATCCTAGGCAACGTCAGCATGGTCTGTACCAAGGCTTCCAAGACGGAAGGTTCCAGGTGAGATGCAAAGGGGGAACCTGTCCATCCCTGAAACAGACAGGCTCAGGGCAGGGACTAGACACCTGGCATCTTTCAGGAAATAGTGACAATCTTTTCTTTTCTAATGTATTTGGTACAGGGTTTCACTACCCAGCTCAGACTTGTAGTGACTGTCCTGTTTTCAGCCTCCCCAGTGCTGGGATTACAGGCCTGTGCCACCACACCTTGGTGGCCTGCTCAGAGCACCCAGGGGCAGGGCCTACGTAGCACGTGGTGTGGGGAATTGAAACCTGGTCCCTGCACTTGCCTGGCAGGCACTTAGTCTACTGAGCTATCTCACCAGCACTCTCAGAAAGTGACAATCTGTGAGCCACAATGAAAGAAGAGAGGGTGCCCACACGGAAAGACACCAAGAGACATGGAGTCCAAGCCTCCATGCTGGGGACCCAGGGGTGCTGTTAGAGCATGACCCTGGCCTCATCACACATGTTCTTCCACGTCGGATCATCTTTTCAGTCATCAACAAAGGCCCATGAAAGGTATGACAAAGCTATGGTTCAGGGGCTACTAGTCTTACTAGTGGGGCCAAAGGAGAAACTAAAACAGGAGAAGCCGCTGGTGGTGGTGGTGGTGGTGGTGGGGTGTTCAATCCACTCAGAGACGAAAAGATGAACATGGAGATGCCTCCTGGACAGTCGAGGGCAAACAGGCTTTCTTTAACCAGATACCTGGCTGTCAACATGTCTATCTATTCACCTTTCACTAGCAACATTTGCTTGTGCAAGCTGCCAGCCCGACCCACTTCGGCACCAGTCCTGCGGCCTCCTGCGGGTGGTGAGGCCACAGCAAGAACGGAGCCCTCAGGACACCAGCGAGCTGAATATCCAGGTGTCCAGGTGAGCTCCAGCAAGGCCTGAGCAGGGTGGAGGAGAGCCACGGTGAAACTTGATCTTGTTGCTCTAGCCACTGAAGTGCCCCTGTCCCTTACTGTGGCAGCCTGGGGACTACAGTTCTGCAGTTCTCCATGTCCCAAGGTCAGAAAGGTCAATGAGGGCAAATTCTAGCCCTGGAGCCCACGAAGGTGTAGCTGAAAGGCACGGTGCTAAAACAGTGCATGCAAACCGGAGCCAGACCCGAAGCTGGAGTCTCAGTCCTCTCAGGTATAATGGGAACACATGCCTGCGCAAGAGAACTGCTGTGAGGATTAAAGACAAAACACAGAGAAGGTGCCCAGCACAGGCCCCGGTGGACAGGGGGCACTGAATTAAGCTGTAGCTACTAAAATTAGAAAACAAAAAATAAACACAAATAAGCCAAGAGGTGGAAGCAAGTCGTGAAGCCACAGGACTGTTCAGATCCTTGACTGCATACCCCTGGTAACCAGCTGCTGGGGCGGGAGCCTCTTGCCTGAGCTGAGGGAAAGGCAAGCACCTGTGTCTGTTGGGTGCTGGGCAGGGGGTGGGGAGGAGAAAGAGGGAGACACAGACAGACAGACAGACAGACAGACAGACAGTCAGACAGTCAGACAGACACAGATCTTAGAATGCCACAGTGGATTTTTCAAAACTTATTTTACAAATGAGGAAATAAAAGCTTAGAAATGAGCTGAATAGGGCTAGAGAGATAGCTCTGTAGCAGAAGTGTCTGCCTGGGAAGTGCAAGGTCCTGAGTGTGATCCCCAGAAGGAAGGAAGGAAGGAAGGAAGGAAGGAAGGAAGGAAGGAAGGAAGGAAAAAAGGAAAAGGAAAAGCAGGGAGCAAGCAAGCTAGCTAGCTGAGATGACTGAGGTCACATAGCCAGCCAGAGTTGTGCAGTAAAGAATAAAACGTAGATCAGGTACTGATGCCCCGTACGGAACGCACTCCCCGTGTGCTACAAACAAGGACTCATATATTAAAATTAAAACAATAAAATGTGGGTTTGCCAAGGCCGGGGTCCTTCACATGTTGCAGACATCAACCAAACCATCTCCCAGGAGAAGCTGCTGAAGCCTTTCCAACTCTGATTAACTTTTTGTGAAAGTTGATTTCAGGAAAAAAAAAAAAAAAAAATTAAAAAGATAGATAGTTTCCAAAATCCTATGAAGGTAAATTAGAATTCAGGACAATCAAAATGATTCACAGATGCACCCAACAAGTCCCAGGTGACTTTGAGCCCCTTACCTCTGTGCCCGAGTGACGGGAACAGATGGAGCAGCCAACTCTGCCACAGGAAGCCAGGCCCTGCCTTTCCGAGCTGGTGAGGTGAAACCAGACCCTAACCCTGGCCTCTGAGAGGCTCCATTCCTGCCAAGAGGTGAGTCTGCTTCTAAGAATACAAAAGACTTCAGAAGGTGTCCTGGAGACCACAGCGTGTGACAAACAGACCTCAGTTCTCCCCTGAATTCAACCCGCATAGGCCGGAAACGCTGTGGTGCCCACACCCAAAAGGCTGAGAAGAACAAATCTACTTCATGTCTGGGGTTCAAGTATTAATGAAATTAAAACCTAAAATCCCCTCGGTGAAGCTGTAACTTGTGTGTGTGTGTGTGTGTGTGTGTGTGTGTGTGTGCGCGCGCGCACGCACGCAGGGTCTCACTATGCAACCTGGACTTGTAGTGATGTGTTTGCAGCCTAGCCAGCGCTAGGACTGTCACCACTTCTTGGCCCGCCCATTCTCCTTTAAGTGAAGAAGTCCAGAGTGGGGCACTGGCCTTCTTCCTTCCCACACAAATCCCACGTTCTCACTGACAATGGCACTTTCCACAAACTACAGGTAGCACACAAGACCAAAAAAGCCAATTCTATTCCAGTGGGTAGAAAAACATTCTCAAAGGAAAACAATTATCTGGACAGAAAACAGGGAAAATGCCAACGAGTCGCATAAAGTCAAAGGCCAAGACTTAGCTTCTGTGATCTCAAAGCAGAGGGTAACTCTGCCTTCCACACTAAACAAGTCTCACAGGCACCTGGATGAGGCACCCCTACCCCCCAACACATCAAGGGCATCAACCGAAACAGGACTCATACTGCATGCTTCCCTGAAGGATTTTAGCACCAGGAACTCCATCTGCTTTATGCCAGGCACAGGAAACGCATGAGCGAGGGCTATAAGATGCTTGTCTTCATTGGCTCTACGAAGTGACTAAACAGAACTAGCTCTTTACTCCTATTCTAGCCAGAACCAAGTTGCCCAGATGAACGTGTT